CACACACACACACACACACACACACACACACACACACACACACACACACACCTTCTTTAAATAAAGCAGCACAGCACTGCTGGTCGGGGCCCTGTGGCATCGCTCCTATTTGCTGGGATCATATAATGTTTCATGTCTCTGAGAGAAGGAAGAGAGGCGGGGGTGGGCCACCCCAGTCACTGGCGTGATCACTTCTGCTGCTCCACACTTAAACGGCAACTGTCTGGGACACACACACACACATATGTGCACATCAAAGTCTCCATCCTTTGGAATAAAAGAGAGGATTACAAAGATTTAACAGCTGGAACAAGTTATTCAGTCTCTCCTCTCTCTGTCTCCTCTTCAGCCAATGAGAAGATTGATGATATCAATGGCTGCCCCAAGAGTCGTTCTCAGATGGTAAGTGATCTTCTAAGTTTGTTTTGGGAGCAAGTTGTGAAATGTAAGTGTGTCCGCACGTGTGGAAAGAAACACACCCCTTTGATTTAGCATCCCAGCGGTTCCTGCTGGAAGCTGACATGCAGAAGTCGCTGTGAATGATTGTAGATGGGAAAGGTTAGTCCAATTATATTTATTTTCATGGTCTCGCGGGCTACCGTCTGTGAAACATTTGGCTCAGACTTCCGATTGAGTTAGAAGCATCATGGGTTTTGGTTTTTGCAATTTGGCTTTATCTGGTTACACTTGCAAAAACAAAAAAAACAAACAAAAAAAAGGATTGCTTCTCACATCTTCAAGAGACAGAGCAGAAAGTAGAGAACATTGTCTCTCCCTCTAAAAGGCTTTATTGTTTGTTTGCTTGTGTGTGTGTGTGTAATTCTGCTGGTGGTATTTTACCATTTTGACAGTCTTCTGTTGTCTGTGGGAAATGATCCAAGCATCCCGAGACAGGACTGGCCTCCGCKGCATGTGATGGGCTTTAAATTAGGCTGGTGTGCCAGCTGAGGAGGGGGTGGGGGCTATTTTTGGCCACCAGCCAGATTATTGAAGCCCTGCAAAGCACCAAAGAGGGAGGGACACACACACACACACACACACACACACACACACACACACACACACACACACACACACACACA